CAAACATAGAACAAAACAATCGTTCATGTGAACAATTTCGTTTATATAAACAATTTTAGACAAATAATAATTAAATGAATTCTTGAATATATTTATATGAACATAAACTCTTATTATTCATTACATATGAATGAGAAATCGCTAGTAGTAGGGAGGATTAGTAAATTTTTATTTCATGAACTTCAGTTATATAAACTAGCTCAATGTATTTAAAGTCCATTTATATCATCGATAAATAAAATAAATTTTATTTGAAGCATTTTTTTTTTTATAAAACGAAAGTTATACGTTATAGAGAGTTTATGATCTTCAACAAACCTTTGACGGTCTGGCCGATCTCTGTTCAAAGAAATCTAACGTAATCCTCGACCATGGCATTCACTTTCCAAGTATAGACAAATGTTTAAACAAAATTGCATCGAAGCTATATATATGCTGCACCTTGGAGACAAGAAATTTCTCAAAGTCGATTGAAAGGGAAACAAGATTCCTTATTTTTCGTTTGCTGGTAAATTCGACTACCAAACAGCCTAAATTCATCCATAGATATCCTATAAACTAAATCAACATCTGGCCATATACTGCTATTATTTAAAGCTACACAAATTATTATTAAACTTGTATAGTTAACATTAATATCAATAATAATAAAATTATTATCTGTAATTAAATGATACAATAATATATAATGAAGATTATAATATTATTATTGAATTATATATAATTAATATTGTATAATTGATATTATATAATAATATTAATTATATAAATATTATATATTAATTATATAATAATAATTATATATATATTATTATATAATATATAATGAAGATTATAAGATTATAGTATTATAATAATAATAATATTATTATTATTAATATTATTATTATTATACTATAATAATAATTATATATATAATAATAATAATACTATAATACTATAATAATTGCTATAATAATAATTATATTATTATAATATTATTATAATATATAATAATATAATAATTATTATAATATTACTATTATTAATATTATTATTATTATACTATAATAATAATTATAATAATAATTATTATTATATATAATAATAATAATAATAATAATACTATAATACTATAATAATTACTATAATAATAGTTATATTATTATAATATTATTATAATATATAATAATATAATAATTATTATGATATTATTATTATTAAGATTATGATATTATTATTGTATTATTATCAATAATAATAAAATGAAAGGTACTTGCGCTTTTGCAATCCATCGATGTACATACATTTACTGTAATGTACATGTATATTTTAATTAAATTCAATATATATACGTATATTACCAAAATTCTAATTAGAACTCAGGATATATGCTTTATCTCCTCCGGTTTATCTATCTAACTGCTAGTTGAAGTCGATATCAGACATATCGCGTTATGCTGTAGCACGACCAGCCAACAAAGTTAAAATTATACGATCATAATTTACATCACCACATGCTTGGCGAGTATTCATATTCACTTGAAAATCTCAATTATAGATCCGACCGTGATAAATCATTTATGGTATCGTGGAACCGTGCAACGGAACACTCATCATGAGATAAAGTTTCTAAAGTTTCGAGAAGTTTCATAAATTTAAAGTTTCGTAGATTCAACATACATTAATTCATAATGGGATTCATTCGTAATTCATAAAACATTTAAGACCAAGGTCATGCATGTGTGATCTCTGATTCTGATATTAATTTGTATCAAACTTTGGACGAGAACCGGTACATGATAAGATAAGGAAAAATAGAAGAATTAGGGAAGAAGAAAGGCAATTTATTATTTTCTTAATTGTTGAAAATACAGAAAAATTTAAACAAATGTTGGTTTCAAGGAAAACATAATACTGCAATCGTTTTGTTTCTTATCGAGGTATGAATTTTACTTTCTTATCACCTTCAGTTTTTTAAATAGTATGATACATTAGTTCGATGTAGTTCTCATACAAAAAAAATATTAACTTATGTATATCCCGATAAAAATAGAAAATAACAGCAATTATATGCTCTCCTGAAACCGTATAAAAAGCTTTTGTTTGAAATACTTTTTTAAATTTTCAACAGTTAAAACGCTATATTGCGACGTACATATAGCATACTATTTATGTCTCTTTCCATTGTAATTCGAAAAATATACCATTTTGTTTTAAATCTACATTATTTTAGCTAGAATTTGATTTATACTCTTTTGCTCGCCTATTAGAGATTTATCATGAAAATAGAATGGCATGCATTGTTTCTTTTGAAAAATTATGTTAATGTTTCACTAATCTTTGAACTAATTTTATTTATATTTTGCTATTAGACAGAAAGTTAATAGTGTATTATTGAGCAACAAGAAAGTATTCTATAATACATAAAATGTAGAGTAAAATCTAATTTTATGAATTATTTAAATTATTGAAGAAATATTCACTGTGTGAAAAAAATGTTCCAACCAAAAGTTGAATAGCATTAAAAAGAGGACATGATGTAGTGTTAATATGAAATCAACTAGTTTTTTCAAAGAGAATTATATGTACATTTTATTCTTTCATTTCATCCCATCAATTACATTATTATATATTCTCTGTTATCACTTGAACAATTATAAAATAAATCATACAATAATTTGCACGAAATATGTAAGCTAAAATTTCGTATAAAGAATATTATAATTGTATCAATCCTGACCGTGAACTAAAATTATATTTATTGATCTAATAGTAAATATAATACATTTCAGCATCGGACAAATTGTCCAATTAGTTACGGATCATCTCGTATTTTGCAGGCTAATTTACTCGATATTTGGTGTCATAACTTGGTTGATCAAATTGATCACTGGCCAATCTAATTTTCCACCAATTCTCCATATTTGCTTCAAGATATGCAAATTGTCACGATTATATGAGATGAAACTTATTAGAGCTCCAACTCTAATAATTTTAATAATTAAAAATTCCAATTTTTCTTTGAATCTCTTTTTTCTGTGTTTCTACGAGAGAAAAGCTCTAATGTAATTAAAAAAATTTTACTTACTCAACCATTAATCGTTAAATTATCTTTAGATGTATTTGTGTATCTGAATATGGACAATGCATGACACATCAAAATCATTACGTCAAAAGCCTAATGGAATTTAATAATACAATTTTCAATCTTGTTAGTACTTTACAATTTTTTTAATATATTCTCTAGAACTACGAAACATAGTAGAGACAGAATGTGTAAAACTATCGGTGAAACAAACAAATTGTTTTTTCAGTAGAAACATTTTATAAAAAATCAGTAAGAAACGTCAGTAAGAAGATAAATATTCAAAATAAGACAAAAATCGACTCTTAGATACTAATAATCGATCATGGAAAATTTTATCTTGCTAATCGTCGAATTGTCCATTAAAAAACAGACATTCTAAAGACTCGAATTAGAAGATCTAATAGAAGAATGAACAGAGAAATCCTTCGGTGGAAAATTATTTCATTTATCGTTTTCATATCTCGCGGAGCCAAAGCATTCAAATGTTCAAAATAAAACAAAAATCGGCTCTTGGACACTAATAATCGATCATGGAAAATTTAATCTTGCTAATCATCGAATTGTCCATTAAAAAATATACATTCTAAAGACTCGAATTAGCAGATGTAGTAGAAGTAGTAGAAGAATGAACAGAGAAATCCATCGGTGGAAAATTATTTCATTTATCGTTTTCATATCTCGCGGAGCCAAAGCATTCAAATGTTCAAAATAAAACAAAAATCGGCTCTTGGACACTAATAATCGATAATGGAAAATTTTATCTTGCTAATCGTCGAATTCATCCATTAAAAAAACAGACATTCTAAAGACTCGAATTAGCAGATGTAATAGAAGAATGAACAGAGAAATCCATCGGTGGAAAATTATTTCATATATCGTTTTCATATCTCGCGGAGCCAAAGCATTCAAATGTTCAAAATAAAACAAAAATCGGCTCTTGGACACTAATAATCGATAATGGAAAATTTTATCTTGCTAATCGTCGAATTCATCCATTAAAAGCAGACATTCTAAAGACTCGAATTAGACAAAAATCGGCTCTTGGACACTAATAATCGATAATGGAAAATTTTATCTTGCTAATCGTCGAATTCATCCATTAAAAAAACAGACATTCTAAAGACTCGAATTAGCAGATGTAATAGAAGAATGAACAGAGAAATCCATCGGTGGAAAATTATTTCATATATCGCTTTCGTATCACGCGGAGCCGCCAACTGTCCATCGCTCTAAAAGAACAATAGCTAAGCCGTGGCTCGTTCTTCATCGTCCGTTGAGCTCGAAAATGTTCGTTCTAGCGGTGCTAAATAATATTTTCCGATAGTACGATTTCATCCGTATGCACATTATACATGTGAATTAGTAGATAATCCTCCATGACGATTCACGATATCACGAAGCAACACGTGATGAACAACGCATAGTTGTTACAGAGTTGAAGGTTTGCGTATGAATTATTAACTGCTATACGATGAACAAAATCGGCCGATACCAGATTCTACAGTCTTGTAGAATCATGTCAAACAGACATATGAATCTGCACGTGACACAAGTTTTAGTTTTTCAATTTTCTTTCGAAGATAATAATTATTAGGCGAACTCTCTTTTTTTTTTATTTTGAATCTTGATAGAAGTCGTATTGAATTTAACTTACTAACGAAGATGGGTTTTTAACATTATAATGTAACTATAACTATAATTAAATAAGCAGATATAAGGAAAAATAATTTATTGTACAATGATAATAATAAATCAATATTCTAATAAAACGTGTTATTAGAAGTGTGACGTTAAAAATTTTTTCTTTATGGTACATTTCATATAATTGCAGAAAATGTCCTTTGAAAGAAAAAATCATTTCTTCGAAGAATTTTCAATTACGTTAATTACCACTCTCGAATGTAAAATATTTCCACGTGTATATTTGTTACTAACAAATTTTCCTTTTCTAATGCTATAAATGTTGAATTTTAGACTTACGATCAAAGCTGGCTGTCCAATGAATCTCGAAAATTTCCCAATGGATATACAGAGATGTCCACTACAATTTGGCAGCTGTACGTGTTCATTTTAGAGAGGGAAACGTTTCTCTATTTTCCATTATTTATCACATTTTACAACCTAAGAAACGTAGAGAATTAAAAATTTGGAAGTATCACAAATCTTAATTTCTCTGGTTTCTTTCCTTTTGCTTTAAACTGAAACAAAATTCTTCACATTTTTATCGTTACGATAATTTTTTATCAAAATTGCTTTCATCAGTATTATTAGAAAAAAAAAAAA